TTTACTTTTCCATTTAATCGTGCCAGTTCTTTTTCAAGTGAATCACGAGTATAAACAGCTTTTGTTAATTCTTCTTTTAACATTCCACCATCACGCATCGATTTTTCTAAATTTTGCTTAGCAATATAGTATTTTTCTTTCAACAATTCTAATTCATTAATTAATGCTTGATTTTGACCTTTTAAATCTTCATTATTTCGTGTTAATGTATCAATCATCAAACGCATTTCACGATCAGCAGTTTTAAACCTAAAAGAGATTGAATGTTAAGTTATGATTCTTATTCAATGTCATCCACATACCTTTCTTCCATACGTCTGTAATCTTCAACTAATTTTCTTGTTGCTTCATATTCTCTTATTAATTTTTCTAATTCTGTTTTTAATGTTTGATTATCTTGTTCTAAACGTTGATATTTCGAACGTATTTCACCTAAACGATTTCGGGCTAAATACATAAGTTTATCATGTTTATCTTGTAATTTGCCCAATTCAATTCCCAAAGCACCATTTTCTTCTGTTAAACGTTCATTTTGAAACCAAAGATCATAGTTTTCTGCTTTTAATTGTACTGCTTTCGATATAGGCTGTTTACTTAATATATTAATTCCAGAATTTCTATTAATAACGTCTTGGCTCACTTTTGGATTTTGTACACGATATTCGAGATCAGCAAATGGATCTCGGTCATCTGTAGCAGCCATTGATAGTTCTAAAATTAAAGACAATAATAAAACCCTAAAAACTAGCTGAATTTAGACAGAAAAGCCTGTTTTAGTCCAATAATCCGTTACACTCCGCATCCATACTGAGAAATTTATTCGAATCTTATTCAGACCGTGAGACCCGAAAATCCTAATGCGGGAACGTTCCCGAGTGTATGAAGTGTATGTTTTCAATGATATTATGTCTATAAATAGAGAACATTGTTTTAAGAAGAAGTCTAAAATGTTTTGTACCCATATTCTTCTTTCAAAAGCTATACAATATTTTTGATTGCCTCTAGAAAGAGCCACAGTAATACTTTTTGGTAAAAAGCGAGCGCCTATTAATATCACAAAAATATTCAGACTTTCAGCTCGTCTACTTCTTGAACTTCTAAATTTTCATTTTTTTAAGTTAAATGTCATTTTCTCCGATGCGACTTGTACAGTGTTCTCTTAGGAACAATTACTGAAGTAGAAGAGTTGAAAGCCTGAATATTTTTGAGATGTTTATGGGCCACTAGCTCAGTTAGGAAATAAATTTCAGCTCTTAGCGCTCTCTTTTTTGCCCAAAAGTATTACTGTGGCTCTTTCTAGGTGCAATCAAAAATATTGTATAGCTTTTGAAAGAAAAATATGAGTACAAAACTTTTTAGGCTTCTTCTTAAAACAATGTTCTCTATCTTTAGGCATAATATCATTGAAAACATACTTTTCATACACTTGGAAATATTCCTTCCTAAGACTTGATAAGCTTTTCCAAGATCTTAGTAAGATCTTATCAAAATATCGATTATTTCATTTAAGATACTTTTTAAGATTGAGTAAGAATCTGCTACGATCTTACTACGAATCATTATGTTTTTCAATAAGCTCTATGATAGTTTACTAACAATTTCTGAATATCTTGTTCAAATGCTGATAAGTTTCTTTTTCAGAACTGAGTTCTGGTTTGAGTCTGCTGTCCCGCATCGTTAAACACTTCAGTCGAACAAACCTGAAGAATGAAGAGAAAATTTAAATTTTTAGATAGTCATTTTTAGCATTGCCTTGTAGTGAACATTCTTTTAGAAGGTTTTGAACACTTCCGAGAAGTTCAGTACTTGTAAAGCTTTGAAGAAAAATGATATTGTGAAATTCAACTATATTTTGGGCGTTATTTATATAGATGATGCACAAGAACAAAGCAAAAGGATGAATGAAAATAGAAGCATTAAAACTTATTAAAATTTTAAATAAGATCTTAATATGTAAGATCTTACACGATTTTATTAAGATAATTTTAAGAAGAGCCCAAGATGTTTACTAGGGATATAACTATTTACTTTATCAATTACGTACGTACCATATTTTGAACTGTAAACAACTATATCTGATTAATCTCTCAAGCATTCGGTGTATCATACAAAATTTCTTTCATTGTATATATTTAACTTTGTTTTCAGACTACTGTTTTCTTATAGACATTTTCAAAAATAATTGATCAGTTATATAACTAAACGCTATGAAGTGATGATTTGATTTTTTAAATTTACCTATTCTAATAAGATATTCTCTGTTACTTACTCGTATCTACAATAGATGGATATGTATAAAAACTAATCAGAATGTCTTGTGTACGATTGAGAATTCTTATTTTAAGATTATTCGTTAAAGATGATCTATTTTATATCGTGCTCAACTATCATACACGATGCTTGGACGTTTTAAATCAACGACCTATTTCAAAACAAAAATTAAATAAAAAAAAAGTGGTTGTTTGAAAATTTCAGTGTGCACTTACTCTGACTTGTTGTTTAAAATTATTCTTCCTTCGTTCTACTCTACACTTCTCTATGTCTCCATGAAGGAAAAGACAAATTTACACATGCTAATAGTGATTTTTAATATTTTTTCTGATGTTGATAGCTGCAGATTTTTCTATTTTATGTCTGCTTTTATGATTTTTAAAATAAAATAAAAAAAAATCAGAAGCCTTTTTTATAAAAAGATAGGTACATAAATATTCAATTCAATCATTAGAGATGTGTTTTTTTTCTTCTCTTTTTTGTTTAACATGAAATATGAATCGTAAATGCTTTCCGATTTCTCGAAATATTATAACATCCTAGTGTAACATAGAGATTGAATTTCAATCAAGTGCTGTATTTAAACGCAAAATACTGATAATTTGCTAATTCAACTAGCATATAAAACTATATGCCATTCTTACAAGCTCTAAGCTATCTGAAAATCCATATTGACTGTAATATATTACATTCGCAACGTTTAGAGAGAAAAAAGTATATTGTGAATGATGTAAACTAGTATATTAAATGCATATTTGTTAAAAATGGTCGTTGTTATCGATACAAAAATGAAGTGTAGAGATATGCACGGGTACCGTTTTCGTACCCGTATCCGACTTATGCCTAAAAATGTTTTTTTCATTTTCCAGCTAAAAACTTTTGTTTTTCGGCTGGAAATGACAAATTATCATTACGTTCTCAAGTAACTGTTGTTTTAAAACTTTATGTATTTTAACTAAAATCTTGTATTTTTCCACTTAAATTTTGTAGTTTTCCACTGAAACCTTCTGGTTTTCGAGTACATAAAAAAAACGAAACTCGTACCTCTAACTGCTCTACCTGTACCCAGGTTGGGTACGCGGGGTTAGGGGTCGGGTTGCACACCTCTAATGAAGCGTGCTGAACTTTTGTTACGCACATTAAGGGCGATTTCGGAAAATTGTCGCTCCAAACTGCCCTTCTATTCTAGAAGGGGATTTCGAAAGCCAACCAACTCATTCCATGATACGTGAGTGGATCCCAGGGAAAGCTGGTTAACATTAGCATACCCACACCAGATAATTTAGAGTTAAGTAAAGCGACGGTTGTAGTCCGACGTAGTTGTAGAGCAGATAAGAAATGTTTTGCTCGAGAAGTTAGTGGAGAAAATGGAGCAAGAATTAAGGATGTCCACGTTTTAACAAAAAATGGTTTACTACCAAATCTTCAAAGGTTTATACTTCAAAACAAAATCGAAACTTTTAAAGATTCGGTAGAAAAAAGGTTTCGTAGCAAACTCATGGTTTTTATTGAAAAACATTCGGTGGCATAGGTTTCGTATTGACTTCATTGAAGATTTCATGCAGCGCCATTTTTGAGTTTTGTATAGTGCTCAATTATCTTTTATCTTTGGTTTATTAGCACAGTCTTCTTATAAAGCAAAAGAAAAAAACTGCAATAAATCTCAATAGAAAAATTACAATAAAGAGAAAAATAACAATAAATTTCTTATATAGGAACAGAGCTCGTGGTATCCACTTTCAAAAAACAGGAACAGGAGAGGATTTTTTCTCTTTGAAAAACAGGAAAGTCAATAAGTTTTTTCCAGAAATACAGGAAATAAGAGGATGCAGAAAAACGGCAAGTGAGATTTATCATAATGTGTTAATGTATAAACTAGAAATTCACCTGGCCTTGTATAAAAAACATTATACGGCATTCAAACATAGTCATAGATAATCGTCTACGATTATCTATATTTTATCTGCTCTATTAATCTGCAGTTTTAGTTTTGCCTAATCTTTTTCAGTTTCTGTAAAACTTCGACGAAATTTGTGGCCCTCGAAAAGTGGAAAAAAAATATATAATTTTCCAGTGGCGGATTTAGGGTGCAGTGACGGATAAATAATGAGTGGATGCAGTCAGTTCATATTGATAGTACATCCTATTGTCATTCAGTGAAACATAAAGTGAAGCGGTAAAATCTAACCGTTGTGTTCAGGTAGTACCCGAATGAAACCGGTAGAATTTAGGCATATTATAGATGGTCGAATCAGGGTTGAACTTTTGTGCCATCCCCAAACACACCTTTGAAACCGTAGCGGCTAACTCATAAAGTCTCAGATTTTCAGACTATAGGTATTTTGAAATCCTGAATCGAATGACTACTATCCATCCCAAAATACAGTGCCGGTGGGTATTTTTTGAATAACTTTTGATAGGAATGAGATAGAGACCTGCGATTTTCGCTGTTCAATAGCCAAGACTTGAGTAGAACTTTTCACAAGCGGAAGCAACTTTTTGAAAAAATTCCAGAGATCGGGTTTCCAGAGGATCTTTGGAAAACAAGCTCCGTTCTCAGAAAACTAACATTCAATGTTAGTAATTTTTTTGCACGCATAAATAGTCCGGACGTTACTCTACAAAATTATGCAAGTCCCGGCTCTCTAGCTATCGTCGTTCGGGCAGGGCTCACTTTCCCCGAGCACGTGTCTATCTCCGAGCAGACATCTCTGGAAATCTCAGAATGCCATGGGCTATAGGTAATCGACTACGCTGAGCATAGCAGCAACATTTGTTTTTGTGTAGAAATGAATATAACTTCGCCAGACGCATTGTTGTGAAAAACCGGTTTTTCGCCTGTTACTAGCAAAAATTAAAATCCTTATATCTCGATC